ACCAGTGTTGTGGCACATGTCACTACCTCCTTTCTTCTGTGGCTGAAATCCTGGTGCATGGGTGTCCTGTGCATCACTCATTCCCACCTACTGACGACCACTGGGTGCTCCCCACCCTTGGATGTTGGGAATAGTGTTCGTATCAACCCTGTGCAGTGTGTCAATGCCCGTTTCATTCCTCGGGAAATCTATCTAGAAGTGGAGTTGCAGGCTCCAAGGCCGTCCTGTTTAGCATTGTGGGGGGACTCCCAGGCTGTTTTCTGTGGGGGTATCACCACTGTGCATCCCTACCAGCTGTGTGGGAGAGTTTCTGATAGCCATCCTAGTGGATATGAAGTTGTACCTCAAATTTTTAACCTGTAGTCACCCCTCTTGTTTGGGGGGTAGGCAGTGCTTGGGGTTTAACCCAGGGCCTCCCACATACTCTGAACGCCCTCTGCTGTTAAGTTACATCCTCAGCCCCCAAATCCTTCTTTGAAATATGGTCTTACTCTAGGTTTGGTTCCCAGCATCCACATGTGGTTCACAACCATTTGTAACTACATTCTAGGGGATCCAATGCCATCTTCTGGCCTCCATGGGCACCAGGCACACATATGATGCACATATATACATGTAAAAACTCATGCACATAATAAAAATAAATTTCTTTCAATTAAAAAAAAGTAAAGAATTCTAAAACAAACAAACAAAACCAAAATGGTCTTTCTCCCTGGGGAAATGGCCCAGTCAGTAAAGCCCTTGCCATGTAAGCCTGGGAACCTGAGTTTGGACCCCCAGCTGGGCATGGTGTACACTGTAATCCCAGCCCCTGGGAGGCTGAAATGGAAGGATTTTTGGGGTTTGCTGGCCAGCCAGTCTGGATGAACTGGAGAGCTTTCAGATTTGGTGAGAAACCCTGTCTCAAAAAATAAGGTTGAGTCATTGAAGAACACACACACACACACACACACACACACACACACACAGGAAAAAAGTCTTCAAACTTTCTGTTGGTCAGTTTTTGTCCCTGTGACTAAACATCTCAGCAAAATGAAAGGTGGGGACGGGATTCATTTTGTGCCCAGCTTAAGCAGTGTTAGCCTATTGGGCAAGGGAGGACATGAAGCCACTGTTCACCTCATGCAGCCAGAGAGGGGAAGAGAGGGAGAGAAAGACAGACTGACAGGTAGAAAGAGAGGATACCCATACATACGGATTCTGTTCCCTTTTATTCTGCCCTGGGGCCCCGCCTCTGGCATGGGGGTGCTTTCCTATCCTCAGTGCTGACAGTCAAGATTAATCAGCATACAAGTAGAACAGATACGAGCATCCCATTGGCTGAAATGGAGAAGGAAGCCTGAGCACACCCTGCCCAGCAGTCCAGAGCTAAGTTCTCTTAGGTGATGTGTAGACCAGGGCTTGAGACCAGTGCTGAGGCATCTGAGACTTGTCACTGGAGGCTTCCTGTGGAGCTGCCTCAGCCCTCCAGCCTTTCCTGGTTGCCTTGGGAACCCCTTCAGCATTTGGCCAAGTTATGGAACAGCCCTGCCACTGTACTGGGGTTGCCACAGTGAGAACATAGAATTCAATGGCTCCGTTGAGTGGTTTCAGTCCAGGGAGTGGCTTGTGCCAGAGACAGGAAGTGAGCTGGAGAAGTGCCCCCCACCCCAAGTACAGGAAGGCTGGGCTTGAGTGTGCTGGTGGGGGAAGATGAGGCCGACCTGAAGGCTGCCGAGTTTTCCCATCGCCTCAGTGGAGTCGCCCTAGTGGTCTAAGGTTGGAGGGTGGCTGCTGGCGAGTGTCCTGGCCCATTTCCACTCCCATCTCTGCATTAGCATTCAAGGAGCACAAGTTGCTGTGTTTGCCTAGGAAGAATGTTCCAGGTTCTGCTGCTGTCTTGGCGGAGACACGATCCCCCCCAAACTCTGGTTGCCATGCTCCGCTTTGCGCAGCTGTTGGGGGCTGAGTCATCAGCTCAGCCTGTTCTGTTCTCTGGGATTTCAGGGCTGCTTTTTTTTCTTCTTTTGTTGATAGCTGGTGCTTTGAAAAAGACCTTCAAAGGTATATTCTGGGACTTTCCCTTAGAATACTGGGTTGACCTGACCACCTGGCTGCTCCCCTGTTGAGTAAGATGCCAGGATCTCCCAAGAGATATGCAGCTTCCTAATCTTATAGCTGGGGAAACTGCTACCCAGGAGCCTAGTCACTGAAGAAGAAAGCATCGTTTGCAAGTCCCTTGTTTCATAAACAGCCCTAGAATCAGAATGTGGGACCCGGAGTTCCTCAGAGACCAGCTAGTCTAGCTCCGTGATCTAGCACAGGTTTTTAAGCCATTGTATTATGAACCATTGTGTGTTAACTGTGTTTGTTCCTATGGCATACACCAGGAAGCTTCAGCTAAGGGGTTAAGACAAGAAGGGGTGGGGGCTGGTCCCTGAAGGAAGGCTGCAGAGCACACCCTGAACACACACAGTCCTGGGGATGCTGTAGGCTGGCAGAGAGCTCAAGCAGAGAGATGGCGGTGCTTTGTCAAGCAGAGCTCCCGTTGCATACATGCACACATATACACACGTGCATACACACACAAACATATGTGTGCACGCGAGCATGCGCAGAGGGGGAGGGAGAAGAAAAAGAGGAGGAGGAGGAGACTGTTGTAAGTGGAAAGGACTTGATCCCCAGATTAAATGTTTTCCCTTTATTCTCTCATAACCATGAGCTTCTGATAGATTCCAAACAGGGTCCAGGTCCTTTCTCTGTTATTCCTGATGCTGCCGAGACCCATGCCCTCCTAAATTCACCCCTGGAAGACCCAACTTGGTCTCCTTCCCTCTGGTCCTGTCCTTTCCCAGCACACTCTAGAGGGTTCCCCACCCAGGGCTTTCTCACATTGCCTCCTCTCCTCTGTGGAACAGATCTGTGGCTCCCTGTGGCCCGCTGGACAAGACCCTGGCTGATCAGGTTGTGTGTGGCCTGGCCCCGTCTCGGCTTGCAGCCTCACCGCCACTGTGCCTCACCAGGCACCAAGCGTCCAAGCCACCGTTGAGTTATTTACAGCCTCTGGCCATACTGCCCCGGCCTTCCCTCTGGCGGACTCCTACTCATCCTTCCAGACCCAGCACGAGGTTCTGGTTGGAAGAGGCTTTTCTTGGCCTTCCTGAGGCCGCCAAAATGTCTTGTGTCTCCTCCTTGAAGGTCATCTCACACTTCACTTGTTTACTTCCAGAACACTGTCTGTCCCTGTTTGTTTAGCGTCTCCTGTGTGACAGAGCACCCATCCATGCCATACCCATGCTCTGCTGCATGTTACTCTCACAGCACCCGGAGGGGAGGTGCAGCCCATGGCAGAGGAAAGGCTGCAGTTCAGCAGTAGCCAGACTCGATGAGGCATGCAGTTAAAGAGTACAAGAACCAGAATTCAACCCCACGTCTGTTGGACCCCATTTCTGCATCCTTTCAGCTCTCCTTCCCCATTTTAGGCCCTGAGGCAGCACTGAGCATGGGAACGACCAGTCTAAGAGGCAGATGTTTGTGCGGTTGCTATGGAGTGTGCACAATGGGGAAACAGAGGGAACTGGTGTGAGAGGGACAGGCTTCCTTGGGGTTGAAGGGATGAGAGATTGTTGGCCCTGCTCCCGTGGCTTAGGATTTCCTTTCAGCTTCTTTTCCAAGTGGCTGCCTGGGGACAGGCCTGTGGGACTCCAGGCTGAACAGGCGGCAGCGTGGCGATAAATGCCATGGCAACATGCCTCCTCTCCAGGGCTATGATGAGAGGGCGGAGCCAAGAGGGCACAGGACACACACTGGGGCCTCTGAGCAGGATCCTGAAGAGGAGGTGCCCTGTGGGCCTGGGTGGCTTCTGCCTTCCCAAGAGGGCCCCTGCCTGTGAGGTCCCATCCCAGCAGGGGAAATGGCACTTCCACTTCTGGCCTGAATTAATGGCTGCTTCTGGTCTCCCAGGAGACTGTCAGCTGTGTCCCGGTACAAATACCACCCCGTTCCCACCCACAGCCAGGGAGGAAGGAACAGAGAGCACAAGAGGGGGGTGAAGGGGGCTGCCAAGCAAGGTGGTAGCAGGGACAAAGCTCTCATTGTACCGGGGCCACATGGGGTTCCCATCTCGCCTTTCTCACCTGCCTCCCAAGACCTAGCCTCCGCCAGCTCTTCAGCCATGCTCACCCAAGCTGGCTGTGGTAGAGAAGCTATCTGGGAGGTGAGGCCTGTGGAAGGTGCTAGAACCATCCTAAAGCCAAGAGGCAAGCAGTGATGGGAGCGTGGCCAGTGAAGCCAGGGTGACATGGACTAGCAAGGGCCCGAATGAAAGAAAGGTGCTAGCAGGCCACCTGACCTCGGAGGAATTCGCTGTGCGGCAGGTTGTCCTCTAAGATTTCTCCACGCATGAGCAAGGGCCACTGCCCCCTCCCTACCCCACTCCAGCTGCTCCCACAAGACCCTCCTGTGCCCATGAGGCAGGGACCCTGCGTACCTCTCTGGACAGGTGTGCAGCCCACGGATGCCCACCCTGTGCTTGCCCACAGCCTCTACTGGGGGTCTGGCCCTGGTGTTGTTTCCAGAGGCTTTTCTTGGGTGACTGAGACTGGTGGAGGAGAGTGGTGCCAAGCTGGTTGGGCAGCTCAGGTGACGGGCATAGTGTCAGCGGCTCTTACAGCCCAGTACCTGACACCTCTGGGCAGACAATGCGGGCTGTGTCCAGGCCCTCTAGGGGAACGGGCCGTGTTCTGTGTCGCAGCCAGGAAACTGGCCATCTGAGTAGTGCCTTTGTCCACTCAGGAGATGGCCCCACTACTGTCCAGGAGCAAGCTCCCGGGGACCCTACGTGGGAAGGAGGTAGTCCCTGGGTCAGGAACTGGGGTTTGAGATCTCAGTATCCAATGCTGGTCTGGTTTAAATGCTGGTCCTGCCACGCAACTGGGGTGTGACTTGGGCAAGTCCTTTTGCTCATGGTGGCCCTAATTCCTTCTTTATAAGGGGGGACTAATCTCAGCCCTTCCTCATAGGGTTGTTGGGAGAAGTCAATGGCGTAATGTACGTAATCGTGTAGCACGGGCCGGTGTGCGGTGGGGCTTAGCTTGGCGGCTGCATCTCCCCCAGCATGAGCAGAAGTCCAGGGCATGGCATTCTCAACTAAGCTTTCCCAGGCTATCGTCCACAGTTCCTTCTCTGAACGTGGAGTCAGGGGCTATGACCTCTAGAGCTGGCTCAAAACTACCCACTGGCTGTAGAAAACCTAGGTTTCTCTCCACTGATCCAAGGGAGCTCTGGGCTGATGTCTAGTATAGCCCTGATCCCAGACAGCTACACCCTCCGCATGGGGCCTCTCCCTCCCCCACATCCCTGAAGACATCCTGCAGAGCTGTCCTTGACACTCAAGTCCCTGCTCAGAAGAACATCCTAAGGACCCAGCACAGGAGTCAGTGGGCCTGAGTCCACCCAGCCCCCTTCTCAAGTCTCCTGGGCATGTGAATGCCTTTTGCTAGACCCACCCACGGTAGGACACTCAGCAACTAGGGAGGGCTTCTGCTCTCTTGACCTTGGCCTCCTATGCATCAAGCCTGTGCTCACTTTCCTGGGATGTACTAAAATAAACATGCACGTTTATATGACAAGAGTCTAGCCTGCATGCATGTATGCAGCATGGGAGTCAGAGGGCCTGGCTGCTTTGTCCTGCCTTGGGAGCAGGCGCTTGAGCATGTACATGGACATGTGTGTGACACATCTTGGAATGACCTATTTTGTCTGTATCCATTGATCTTTCTACACGTGTGCTGGTATGTCCGTCTGTCTTGTCTCCTTTGTAGCCAGGAAGCCCTGAACCACGTGCCAACTGGGAAGGCGATGGTCGGCGAGACCAGCCCGGCCTAATCTGGGGCTCCTACTCCTGCACCAGGGGTCCTCCGACCTGCAGCCCCTGCCACAGAGGGAGGCCTGGAAGTGGGAGGCGGGCTCTGAGGGGCAGGGACCTGGGGAGAAGCAGGCTTGGCTGGTAGAGTAGAAGACCCTTTTGCTGCACTGGTGGACAGGAGACCCTTGTCCCGCTGTCCCCGTGACCGTGGTGGGCTCTTCACCCGCTGGGTGCCTTCACTGACCTGGAAGATCTGGGGTTGGACTGATGACTTCTAGCCACCCATGAGGCTCTGAAAACTAACTGAGACTTTAAACCGGGGTTAGCAGTCCGTGCCGAGCCCCACTGAATTGATTGGCGGAGGCAGCCGCCCGCAGCCTAGCCCACAGGTCCTCGCTTGATTCCGGGGTGTCGTGTGCCGAAGGGCAAGAGGAGAAGCCATGCCAGGCAGTGGCCCCAGTGAGAGGATGACATGGCCCGGCCCTGCCCTCCCTACGCCCCCCACAACCCGCCCTCTCTCCTCAGCCCTGGGAACACCGCCCATCCCACCGCTAACCAGGACCCGCAGCCTCATGGCCATGTCCCTGCCGGGAAGTAGACGGGCCTCTGCTGGATCTCGCAGGTGAGTGAGTCTCGCCCTTGTCTAGAGCCTGAGCCTCAGAGGCTCGGCTTTGTCTTCATCTGCAGCAGACTTGCCGTGTGCCTTTCAGCAAATCGCGCCCTCGGCTTCCCCATCCTTAAAATAGGCTGGTTGATCCATGCCACCTCCAGGAACTATTTAAGGACCTAAATGACATGGTGGATGTAACAGTTATCTGAAGGTTCCCATCAGCACCAGCCCTGCCATTACGGTCCCTGCAGTAGATCGCTTTTGACTGTCACCCCGTGGGTCCCTCCTCCAGTCCCCTCCTGTCTGCCCCCACGATACTCCCCTCTGTTTCCGTTCACGCATGGATAGCCTTCCCGGGGCTAAGAGACCCCGGGGCCCGCCATTTGTCCACAGCCATGTCTAGCCTCTGTTCTTGACCCTGGGGAGCTAGGAGGGTCAGCCACCTTCCGGTTTCTATCTTGATTTCTACTGTGTTCTGTCACCCTTGTCTGTGTGTGTCTGTGTCCCTCCCCGCCGCCGCCTTCCTTCCCTGCGGTGAACCCGAAGCGGGGGCACTTTAGGCCGTAGTGGCCTGGCAGTGTTCGCCCAGTGCCCACAGCTGCCCGCCAGCCAGAATGAGCAGCTGCCTCTTCTCCCCGCCTCCAGGCGTACTTCTCCACCTGTGAGTGTGCGGGACGCCTACGGCACCTCTTCCCTCAGCAGCAGCAGCAACTCTGGCTCCTGCAAGGGCAGCGACAGCAGCCCCACACCGAGGTAACCCGCTCCTCCTCCCAGCCAGGCCCGGCCGCCTGGGAACCTGGTGCCCAGGAGATGGGGGGAGCAGCACCATGTTCTGACGTCCCAACTCTAGCTTTCTTACTGGCTGTGGCCTAGAACATGTCACGGCGCCCCCTCTGAGCTTTGGCTCCTCTCTGTAAGATGGACATGAGCACTGGCGATGAGATGTCAGGGACAGAGACAGGCAGCTCCTGAAACATCACAGACCCCACCTGTTCCTGGTCACCATCCATGTGAGCGCCTTTTGTCCTAATTATTCCAAGATGGCTCCTGGGCCACCAGCCATCCCAGCAGCAAGGAAGACGATACCCCCTTGTGTTGGTGGCTCTGAGAAGGGACACTTGCTTGCCCTGTGAAATTTTGCCCCGATTTCATTGGTTAGAATTGTGTCACGTGACTCACTAGCGACCTATCCAGTTCATTCAGAGAGGATTAGTGTTTCCCTCCCAATGGTGCCACCCCAAACAAAGAGGAAAGGGCTAGGTGGGTGTGGGGCATTTGTCTCAGATACAGCCAGTCGTGGTGTGGCACGTACTAACTTATGGTCTAGGTACAGCAGGCAGAGACCTGAAATGCAGGGTCACACTGGAGGGCAGGTAAAGAAGAGCTGTGGGTCCTTGATTCTATCCAGGGTATTAGAGTCAAGGTACTGCTGGTGTGGCATCCTCTTTCCTGGGTGCTGGAATACATGTGGGCACTAGGTGATTTTGGGGAGCCTCGGGCTTTCCTGTCTATAAAATGGAGCTAATAACACAGATGCCAGCGAGTTGATCTGCGCACTGCCTGTATGTCCTGGACCATAGTGAGGCTTGAGGGTTATGGACAGGGGGTGAATCCTAACTGCAGACCCACAGTCAAGCTCCTCCCTGCAAGCCGTGTCCTGCTCCTCTCAGCAGAGATGTTGTCTGTGTTCAGTGATGTCCAGAGCCATTAAAGCCACAGATCTCAGTTTTTTCCACCAAGGTGTGGATGGTGGGTAACAGTCATATGCAGGACCTGTGACCAGCTTTTCTAACCGATTTATATCTTGAAAAGCATGGAATTGGAAGCATACAGATTCTTCTATTAGTAACAGTTTTGTAATACATCTCCCATCTGAAGCCCTTGGGGCAGTCCCGAACTGCAAGCTGAGCACCTGTAGAGAAGTCCTGTTGCCCAACAGGAGGCCTGCTACCCCTGGAGAGGGGCAGGAGAGTACCGTCTAAGGGCCTCACTGCAGCCACCGTCTCTATCAAGATGTGTATGATCACATTTCTATTTTTTAATACATCACACACGTGGGGCGGGGAGGCTACTGGTGACTATAAACATGTGTTAAATGTTATCTTGGAAAAAACGCCCACGAAAGCACATGAGAACGTTCACTCTAACCCTCGCTCTCACTAGTTCAGCATTGGCTTTTCCACCTCTTGCCTGGCTGAGAACTCCTCACTGACACAGGTGTGTGTTCTCCTGCCGGATCCCTTGCAGGGTGGGACAGATACAGGTCCGAGTGGAGGAGGCTGTATGGCTGCTTCTCCTTTAGGGAGATCTTAGAGCAGGGTGTGAAAGCCCAGGCAGCCACCACGCCACCCCTTGACCCTTGCAAGGTGGAAGAGAGGCTGTGTGATCTGCCCTGGCCCCCCCCCCCCCCCCCCCACCACCACCCCCCTGCCACCTTCTCTCTAACACGTCACAGTCTACAGTAAACATGACAGCTTCCACAAAACTTTAAATCTGCCTTGAACCCGGCCGCTTCCGCAGTGGGCCGCCACAGGACCTGTCTCTTCCAGCCCTGTGAAGCGTCTGTGTGAGGCGAAGTGTCCCCAGCCCCTGGAGCAGCAGAGTGATACAACGGCAGGCCCCAGTCTCCACTGTGTGGGAACACTCCCGGGGTTTAAAACCAAGATCCGAGCAAGGTTCTTAAGAACAGATCCTGCAGCCGGGAAGCTGTGGGGGGAACCGTCTGAACCATAGTCTGTTGTGGAATCAGGGAGCTCTCCTTCCTAGGAAAGCCTTGGCCAGCCCTCCACCCTGAACCCAGTGGCCCTCCGGGAGGAGGCTCCTCCACAATGGTGTGGTATGACACACTGTATTGGTTGCAGGAGGCGTCCAGCCAACTGCTACTCAGGGCCCTGCTGCTAACTGTCCACACCTAGCAAGTGTCCATTTGTGTGCTCACACATGTCCCAGAGCATGGGTACGTAAACATGGCTGGTGTCCTGGACCAGGCAACTACCTATGAAGGCAGCATGAAAATGGTGTATCTACACCCATGAGGATGTGCGGGTGCACATGGCTGGAGACACCATGAGTTTCCTGAGAGGAAGGAGTGGCCAGGCCTCCCAATGTGTACATGTAATGTAGACCTGTCCTGTATGTTCCTCGAGGTGGGTGAGGAGAGTGCATCATGCTATCTGCAGAGACAGCTGTGGCTTCACACCTGTGTCTGTGCCCCCCCATTCCTGTCCCTAGGCTAGATAGGCTTTCAGCTGCAGGGAGGGGAGTGTCTCCCTCCCAGGAAGATGTCACCTCCCCTGCAGGTGAGTCCTTGTCCTCCAGGCCCACTTGGAACCTGCCCTTGCTCCCTAATCTCACCTCCTCTGGTGAAGACAGGCAGCCGGGGTTCAGGAAGCTGGTTGAGCCACCCTCTCTGAAGAGAGTGTATGTCCGTAGGACAAAGGCTTCCCTGCACCCCACACACGCTGTCATAAGGCACTGAGCACACGCAAGCCCCCTGAGGTCCCCTCTTCCCTAAGCAGAGGTATCGTGAGTCCCCTAGCCAACTCTTCACTCAGAAGAACTTCATTAAAACTCACCTCACAGAAGGCTGGCTGGCTTGGTGCCATGCCCACAGGGCCTGCCCAGGAGGGCGGGTGGCACAGGCTGAGCTGAAGATGGTTAGGCTGCTCCCTGGCCCAGCTCTGTATCCGGCCTGCCCTCCTCGTCCCCGCCCCCCTCTGATGGACACACTGTTGCAGGCGCTCCATGAAGTATACACTATGCAGCGACAACCATGGCATCAGGCCCCCCACCCCAGAGCAGTACCTGACTCCACTGCAGCAGAAGGAGGTCTGCATCCGGCATCTGAGGGCCCGGCTCAAGGACACACAGGACCGGCTCCAGGACCGGTGAGTGGCAGCCAAGGAAAGCCCTGGGAACACCAACTAGCTACAGTCTCAGCAGAGCCAGGGGCCTGGGCCATGCCCTGGGAAGGAGGAGGGATGGGCCTCACTGCCATCTACCTGAACTCTCCTCTCGGCAAAGTCTCGCTTGGGCCCATTTGTAGAGGCTCCAGCCCCTGACACCCCTTGACTACTTTAGGCAGGTGCTTGGGGTCAGTGGGAAAGGGTCCCTGTAAGGGCTGTCAGTCACTGTCCTTCTGTGATCCTCTACTGACCAGAGCCCTGCACCTCCTTTGGATGGTGGCTTCTCCCCTGGATCCTGTCCTCTCCAGGAGCTGGAGCATCTCTCTGGCTCCCTTAACCCTGGGGGTGAGAAATAGACCTTTAACCTTCCTGTGCCTCTACACAGAGGTCTTAGCCCATCAGACCAGGCCTATAAGCCTTCCTCCATGTCTGCTTCCTCTCTATAGAAGATAGACAATCAGGAGATGCTATGGCTGAGGTCCGGCTCAGCCTGGGGGTCTCCCAGGATCTCAGGTCCAGCTGTGCTCATTCTCAGGTCCTTATAGACACGTGGTGCTGCCCCTCCTGGTGGTTTCATCTTTAAGAGCCACACTTCAAAGGGTTGAGCACTATGGCACATGGGGGTCACCCCAGCACCCAGTAGGCTGAGGAAGGATTGTCAGTTTGAGGACAGCCTGGAATGCATAGTGAGGCCCTGTCACAACACACAACAAAAACCCTGTATTAGGGTGGGGTCCTCATCTCTGATCACCTTTGCCAGCCTCCCCTGAGCCGTGTCTGTTCTGAGCTGGACCAAGCTGTGCGGGAGCACTAGAGCTCAGGGCAGGCATCCCCACGGTGCCTTTTCTTTGCTTCTACAGCAGCTTTTATACCCAACAGAAGTTACTCTACGTGCCACAGAAGTGGCCCTTCTAACCACTGGATGGTGTGTAGTGCCCTCGCAGAGTTCTCATTTTCCACAGTCCGATACCTCTTTGTTGTTGGTGTTGATGTTTATTTTTGTTGGTTTGTTTTTACATCCCAACCAAAGTTTCCCCTCCCTCCTCACGCCCCCCCCCCTCTGCTCCCCCTCTTCCCTCAGCACACCCACTCCTCCTCCTCTGTTTCTCTTCAGAAAAGGGTCGGCCTGCCATGGTTATCGGCCAGCCGTGGTGTATCAAGTCGCAGTGAGACTAAGGCACCATCTCCTCTCTTAAGGCTGGAAGAGGCAATCCAGTAGGAGAAATGGGTCCCCAAAGCAGGCAACAGAGTTAGAGACAGCCCCTGCCCCCACTGTTAGAGGTCCCACAAGAAGACCAAGCTACACAGCTGTAACTTAAGCGGAGGGCCAAGGTCAGTCCCACGCAGGGTCCCTGGTTGTCAGTTCGGTCTCTGTGAGTCCCTGTGAGCCCAGGTTAGTAGGTTCTGTGGGTTTTCCTGTGGTGCCCTTGACCCCACTGGCTCCTTCCATCTTTCCTCCCCTTCTTCTGCAGGGTTCCTCAAGCTTGGCCTAATGTTTGGCTGTGGGTCTCTGCATCTGTTCCCATCAGTTGCTGGGTGGCCTCTCTGATGGCGGTTGGGCTGGGCATCAGTCTATGAGTACTGCAGAATATCATTAGAAATCGGTTCATTGACCTTTTTTTTTGTTTTTTGTCAATCATGTTTGGTTCTATCCTGTCTTTCGGGTATGCCCCCTCTGGGTCCTGGCCCTCGGGGGTGAGTTCCCTCTCATGGTATGAGTCTCAGGCTGCAGCAGTCATTGGTTGGTCACTCCCACAATTTCTGCGCTCTGATACCTCCCTTTACCACCCTCTTCCCCTCAGCAGTCATTCCCCATCCTCTCCAATGACCCATCAGTCTTCTTGTCTCCGTCCATCTCGGGATATGCTATAGTGCAGCATGCATGACCGGACTCTACCAGTCCAGACTGGCTCTGTTGTGGTTTCAGAGGTCGGGGTGGTCTGTGGGCTCCACCATCCTTGATTTAAGGATGGTTTCGGGTTCCTGCCCTCTTCCCAGTGATGCTCAGGGTCTGATGGCCCTTTGGCACTGATGTCCATGAGGAGTCAGAAGCACACCTCCCAGCTTCTTCTCTGGACCAGCCAGCAGTGGCGTGTAGGCCATCTACCTGTTTTTGGCAGAACATCCTCTCATCCCCAACCACTGTTACCTTTGAAAGGCCCGCAGCAGGCCCGTCCTTGGCATACCGCCTCTCTCCTCCCACCCTCGAGGTATTATTTAATATCCACACTTCCTGTGCTAGCCTTCCCTCTACTTCTCAGCCACCATGTGCTTCGACAACCCCCTCTGCGCTTGTGGACACTGTGTCCCCACACTTTGAGGTGTCTTTTCTTCCATCTTGCATCCTTGCTGGCCCCTTCCTTTAAGATACGGTTCACATGTTATTCCTATAGCTCCAGGCCAGCTCAGGTTGGGGATGCCATTGTCCTTGAGGTCAAGCTAGCTCCAAGGAGAGAAGCATAGGGGTGGCCCAGCTCCTTCTTACAGACTCACCTTCCGGGGGACAGGGGGGGTACCAGTGGGAAGTGGAGATGCTCCACCCTGAGGAAGAGGAAGGAGATCAAGGACCCCATGGCTGTTATCTGCCTGCTGATGCCACTTAGGTAGCTCCAGTTCACTGCCCTCCTCTAGCCCACTGCTGACTTATACCGTGGTCAGACCCTCCTAGAGGATATTGCTTGACCTCTGGAGCCCATTCCCCAGTGGGATTTCCAATCTAACTTTGGAAAATCTGTGGTTCCTTATGTGGTACACTCTGCTAGGCTCAGAAGCCCCCTAGTGGTAGCCATGCCATTGGTAGTTTATTCACATAAGCCAGGCTTCCAGCTGAGATGTCCCATGTGGATCCCATCGCTAAGATGGTCCTGAAAAAGAGTGCCTGCACAGGATGGCAAGCCCCGTGCGTGTCCGCCTTTCCCACTGCCTGCCATCAGTGTCCACCGAGTCTCACCCTGATTTTCCCTTTGGCCACTGTGGCGTGGTTCCCTAACCACCTCCCTCTTCATCACCCCCGGGTCCATCTGGGACTCAGCGACTTGAAAGGCTTTAGCCTTTCTGGGTGGAAGCCTCGCTGCTGTTCTGTTGCTGGTGCAACCCTTCTGGCTGTAACTGCATTTCCCATCCATCCCTTCAGCCTCTCCTCTTGACAGTAAATACAAAGAAGCTTCTAGCATGCATACAAGAGAGCCACCCACCCCTCCTCTGACTCCTTTCACTTCTGGTCTTTCTGCAAGAGGAGCACTAAAGTCATCGGCTCACCCACTAACCCCAAAGGCTGTCGTTTCTCTCGTCACCGTCCCCTTTCTCCCTGGGGATCTGGGGACAAATGTCTCTCCACTTAAAACACTCACAAGCTGCTTCAGTAGGAAATCATACCCCTCTCTCAAGTTTGCTGCTTTGCATTAAGAGTTTATTACATTTTTATAGCAATGGGCTCATCAATTAAGGATCTGGGTAGTGTCTTCTGGAGGTGATGACGTGAAGGGTGTGGCTTAGCGGTGACATGGGGATGTGGTGTAGCTAGAGAGTTTTCTCTCTGGGTCCCGCCAAGCCCTGGCAGTCCAACAGCCCACTTATAAAATAAACACACAGACGCTTATATTATTTAAACTGTTTGGCCTAATGGCTCAGGCTTCTTGTTAACTGTTCTGATATCTTCAATTAACCCATTTTTATTAATCTATACTTTGCCACGTGGCTCATGGCTTACCAGTACCTTACATCTTCCTTGTCATGGCGGCAGCTGGCAGTGTCTCTCTGCCTCAGCCTTTCACTTTCCAGAATTCTTCTCCTCCTTGTCCCGCCTATACTTCCTCCTGCCTGGCTACTGGCCAATCTGTTTTATTTATTAACCAATCAGAGCAACACATTTGACATACAGAACATCCCACAGCAATGTGGCTCCTGCTGCCATTTTTTCTCCCTCTCAAGGGAGCCTCTCCTGCCTTGGCCCCTGGCTCCTCCACCCACCCTTCCTCCTCCCTGTGGGATGAGAGGAAGAAGAGGCTTTGAATCCTCCTACTGTCGTCTCTAGCTCCGAGCCGCCCTGCCCTGGGGCCATCTGTGTTTGGCGACACCCCCTTGCCTCTCCCCAGCAGCAATGACAGGGAGGAGGGCAGGCCGTAGAGCAAGTGTGTTTCCTTTGCTCACAGGGACACGGAGATTGATGACCTGAAGACCCAGCTGTCCCGCATGCAGGAGGACTGGATTGAGGAGGAGTGCCACCGCGTGGAAGCCCAGCTGGCTCTGAAGGAGGCCCGCAAGGAGATCAGGCAGCTGAAGCAGGTCATCGACACTGTCAAGAACAACCTGATTGACAAGGACAAGGGGCTGCAGAAGTACTTCGTGGACATCAACATCCAGAACAAGAAGCTGGAGACACTCCTGCACAGCATGGAGGTAGCCCAGAATGGGGTAGCCAAGGAGGACGGAACTGGGGAGTCGGCTGGCGGGTCCCCTGCACGCTCCCTCACCCGCAGCTCCACCTACACCAAGCTGAGTGACCCAGCTGTCTGTGGGGACCGCCAGCCAGGGGATCCCTCCAGCGCCTCTGCTGAGGACGGAGCCGACAGTGGCTTCGTGGCTGCCGACGACACACTGAGTCGGACGGACGCCCTGGAGGCCAGCAGCCTGCTGTCGTCGGGAGTGGACTGTGGCCTCGAGGAAGCCTCGCTGCACAGCTCCTTCAACCTGGGCCCCCGCTTCCCTGCCAGCAACACCTACGAGAAGCTGCTGTGCGGCATGGAGGCTGGCGTGCAAGCCAGCTGCATGCAGGAGCGGGCCATCCAGACAGACTTCGTGCAGTACCAGCCTGACCTGGACACCATCCTGGAGAAAGTAGGCCAGGCTCAGGTGTGTGGGACAGTCCCCAAGGACAGGCACTCAGAGCTGGATCCCTACCCCTCAGGGCCCAGAGACCCCAACTCAGCAGTGGTGGTGACAGTGGGTGACGAACCCGAGGCCCCAGAGCCCATCACCTGTGGGCCAGCTACACACCGGCCTGCGGCCAACTCCAACCCGGGACTGCCAGTGAGCGTGGTGTGTCCTGTGGAAGAGGAGGAGGAGGCAGCTGCCACAACCGACAAGGAACCCAAGAGTTACTGGAGCCGCCACTACATTGTGGATCTGCTGGCTGTGGTGGTGCCAGCTGTGCCAACAGTGGCCTGGCTCTGCCGCTCCCAGCGGCGCCAGGGCCAGCCCATTTACAACATCAGCTCTCTGCTGCGGGGCTGCTGCACAGTGGCCTTGCACTCCATCCGTAGGATCAGCTGCCGCTCGCTGAGCCAGCCGGGCTCCAGCTCAGCGGGCGGCTCCCAGCTCTGAGGAGGCTGCCAGCTCCCCACTTTTGGCAGCCTGACCACTGATTGTAGGATGCCATTTGCTGCCCGCCCCCCCCATCCCCATGGGCATCCTCTCATCTACTTTCAGGTCTGGAATAGTGCCCCCCACCCCACATGTTAATAGTGTCAGGGATTCAGAAAGGCATCCCAAAGCTTCAAGAGAAAAGGTGGCCAGCTGAAGAGGGAGAAACTGGGAAGCGGTCCCCTCTGGCCCCTCTGGCCGCCCGGACTTCAGACAAGGCAGGCCCTGCTCAGAGAGTCTCCGGCTGTGTTGATCTGGGGATCCTCCTTTCCCTTGCATCCTTTCCAGCACCCAGTCCACCTCCATGTCTTCTCTCCCACGCCACCCCTTGTGCCCTCCTCAGGCTCCTGGACCAGTATTCCCTCCTCAGATGGAGGCAGCCAGGACCCCAAATGCAGAGAAGCACTCCAAGCAGGGTCTGGCTGCCCCGTCCCACTGAAGCTCCAGCCTCTCCTCCTCCCTTGCCCTGGGATGCAAAGTGTGATCCAGCTGGCATGACCAGCTCAGGCAGGAGGGGCAGAGGGCAGGGTAGATTCTGTGTCTGTCTGTCTGTCCTCCAGGCCTTCCCCACAGTCTGTTTTCCTTTTGGCTTCTGGGTGTGTTAGATCTTCATGAGCTGTCCAGTGCCCATCACTGTCCTGACACAGTAATCATGGGATCGGGAGGGAGCGTCGGTACAGAGAAGGCAAGGCCAGCAGCTCTAGGAGCCCTTTGCCTTCTGAGATGAGTCATCTCATCTGTAGCCTAGCGGTGCCTCAGCGAGCTGGGAAAGTCAGAGGCCGCCTGCCCCAGGCCCTTCGTCCTCAGACCCTGCCTATGTTTGCTCTTGGTTCCCTTAGGGTCTTGGTTTCCTGCCCATCCCAGAACCCCCAGGCTGCTTGCTCTCTGGGATGAGGACTTCTGAATCTCTGACCCAGCTGTCTCCAGAGGAAGGTGGCCATCTGGAGGAACCTCCAGATAGGGTTCTGAAGCCACAGTATCTGCCTATCCATGCCAAAGCAGGGTCCCCTGAGTGTGCTTCCTAATCAGGGGCATGGTCAGGCGGTGGGAGCCTGCCTGGGATGCTCCTGGTCCAGTCAGCCTGGGAAGAAGCCCTGATCCTCACCTCCCTCTTCCCAGAGAGGTCATACCTACCTGACTGGCCCCCGCCCAGGGAGTTGGTAGAAGCCTGCATCTCACTCTCTGGCATGGGAGCTTCTCTGGTTCTCTGCTAAGGTCGCTTTGCCCTCACCGATGCCCCGGTAGCCACTACTTGACTCCTGAGTTCTGCCCCTCCACTCTGTGCCCTCCCCAAGGGCACCTGCATGCACTGGGAGTGGGCAGCCAGCCTAGCCATCAGGGCAAGAGCCCTCTGCCACGCGCTTTGTGCCTCCAAAACTCCCCCACCTTGGCTGGGGCCTCAGACCAGCCATCCTTGGTGGAGCACCCCTACCCCAGCTGAACCAAACCCAAATGCCTGAGGCCTCGCTGGGGCTGCCCCATAGGACACTGGGGTGGTGCCATGGAGAGACAGGGGATAAAACTGATCCAAAGTGAAGCCAGGACTGGCCACGGACCCAGCCTCCTGCGCCGTGCACTCATGGAGCTCCATATGTCTCCTTAGCAACAGTCGAAGCTCTGCTGAGAAAATAAATGTATGAACTATATTTGACAACATAAAATCCATATATTTTTCACCATTGGCATTTAGTCCAACTTTGCAGCCCCTCTGTTCCATGTCTTGCTGTCTGGGCCTTCTTGTCGTGTCTCGTGTTTTGGTGGACTTGGGCAGGGCTAGGACTGTGGTCCGCTCTGCTCCCGCTGCCGGAGAAGCCATTGTAAAGCGTCCAGGTCTGTGGAGGCACTAAGTGAAGCTGACCATTCACCCTGCTCCTGCTCGGACCCTAGCCCTGCCTCGCCTACCGCAGGGGTCCTCTTTTGTGAGTTCTGCCTATCAGAAGGGCTCTGCTCCTTGCTGGTGGAGTGAGCAGGTCATTACCCAGCCCCTGGATGACCCTGGATCCCCGCAGGCTGGGGAACAGGTCCTGCTCCTAAGTGTATATAAGCCCAGAGTCCCGTACCTGTGCCGAGGGGTTGCAATCCCATGCAATCCCAGGAAGCGGGCTTGGAGGTAGACACTTTCAGCAGCCTGCTGGTTCCAGATCTGGAGGAGGAGGAGGCTGAGAGCAAGGTGGGACTGGGCCAGGCTCCCCCTTTGATGCTCATCCCCAAAGCTCCCCCTTTCCTCCCAGTTGGCCAGCCCCCATAGGCTGTGATTTGCCCTCTTGCCCTTGGCTCCTGGAGCAGAAATGTTTAGGGTGCTCCTTTCCCCACCTCCAGTCAGAGCTAACAAGGTCTTGAGGAAGTGTCCCCGGGAACTACCTTCTAGAGCTACTGAACCCTTGGAGCGCAGTGGCTGGCAGTAGTGGCTCCTTCGTTCTGGAGCCCTCTGTCAGGGCTTGGTGAGGACTTCTAAACAGAGGCAGCCTTGAGCAGAGTTCACAACCAATGTCTTCAAGCAGGTAGCCTACATAGCTTTTCACTGAGACCCCTTCCCACCTGCACAGGCATCGCGGACAGCAGATCCCAGGCTCGAGGGCCAAAGGCTATTGAGGGGCCTCCACCCAGGGCACTCACAGCCCCCAGGGCACTCACAGCCCCCTCTGAACTAGATGACAACACAAATAGGCCACCGTGCACGCTCACATTAGGCTATTCCCTTGACAGGAACTTCAGGGGGACACGGGAGGGGGCCGTGGGAGGGGTCTTGACTCGCGGTCTCCTTTGTCTTTTTGTTCGGGCAGAGTTGTACCTGTAGCAGACAACTCTGAATTAAAGCATGAACACACGCGCAGCCCCTCGGCCTGGCGTCTTTGTACCGTGTCCTTTCTCTGCGTGTGTTGGCGTCGGTGAGAACTCACCATGGCACCCAACACAGATGGAACCAGCCCCTGGCTGGCTACGCCACACCAGGCCCTGCCGGGTAGGGCTGGGGCCTCTCTGCCCGTCTGGGATCAGGTACGGGATCTAGAATCCCCACCTGGATCCCAGTCACATCCTGCCTAGCACGGGGAGAATAATATTCCAGTTCTTCCCAGTAGTCCTGAAATGGCTTCTTTGGCCCATTCTGTAGCTACAAAAATGGCCGTGACCACTCCAGCCGGGGTCCCAAAGCCTCTCCTATCCCTGCCATCCCACAGCCACATGACCCCCAGTGCCAATGTCCCTGTGACAGACTGGCAAGCAGCCCCCGATACACAGACGGACCGCTGCTCTCAGACGCACACAGATAAGGCCTTGGCCTGGTCTCTGTCCAAAAGCAGAAGCAGCCCTGGCATGTCGTGGGTCCAGTGATTCTGGAATCTCCAGGAACTTTTTTTTGTTTAAGATCTGCTCTTTATTCAAAAGACAGTGAAGGGTTACACAAGTGATCTATATACAATCTGTGACAAATACCAGCGAAGGCAAAGAACACAACGAGGAATTCCTCTGTCGAGTCAGATGGCTGGCTTTCTAGAAGAGGCAGAAGTCTGCAAAGGGACCCAGCTGCCTTCAGTGACATTCTGCCGTTCTGCCCAAGTGCCCAGCAGCTAGGGTACAGAGCACCAAGTGCCTCGGTCCCTCCTGTACCTCAGCACAGCGAGGAGTCGGGATCCAGGGAGGCCTGGAAACAGCAATGGCAGACTGACCCATCCAATAGGCGTCCCCCTGGGGCATGGCCCCTGCAATGCCCAGACCCAGGCAGCAAGCCAGCTGCAGCCTGTCATCTGAGGACCGCTGTCCACTGCAGGGTGGCGGGAGGCCCGGGCTGCCCGTGACTTCAGATGTCCGGAATGGAGTGGTCCATGGTGTGGTGAAGCAGCAGTGGGGACAACCTAGAGAGGGCAACAGTGACAGTGGCTGAAACCGGCCCGTCCGTCCGTCCTCCGTCCCACCCCGGTCTGCGCACCCCTCAGGGGCTGCGTTCGGCCCCTGCTTCTAAGGACTTCAAGTCGCGAGACGCCACTAGCCGCCATGAACGGGAGAAGAGTCGGAGATAGAGCAGAGCAGACCTGTGCTCTGGGTCAGCGCTGAGGCTGCCGGGGCGCGGGAGGGGGACAGGAAGCAGAGTGCGGGGGTCGGGTTAGCAGCCTTACTTTTTGACCATATGCTCGTAGATCACAGTGGGAATGATGGTCAGTGTGACGACGCTGCCGGCTGAGGTCAGAATCTCCGTAATCTTTTTGTCCTAAAGAGGAGGAGAGTGGCCGGTCATCTTGAGGAACGGGAATAGCACTGCCACCTGACTGGGAGCTCGGCGTGGCTGCTGCTAGAGGACACCACCTACACCTCACACCTGCCCGCAGCGGCTGGCTGGACATCCCAGGTGGGGTATTGTTGCTCTCATTTGAGATTGGCAGGGTCACGGGAGCATGGCACTGGCCTCCCATTCTTGAAGGCCAGCCATGTGGGCCTTACAGCACTGCCCCACGAATGTGATTCTCCTGTCTCTGCCAACTTCGCTGGCCCCAGTTACACTTAGGCTGCTGTGGGAGACACTGGGTCCACCTGGGTCCTCAGACTCCTGCTGGCTCACCAGCCTGAGCCAGCCACATGGGTCCTCTCCCACACCTCACCGACTAGTAAGAAAAGCTTGTATAAACTGCTTAGATCCTGAAGAGAACAGACAAGCTCCATGCAGACGGTGTCCACCAGTCGAATGACTACCGGTGTGATCAAGGGCCTCTGGTCCCTGCTCAGCTCCTGGTGACCATCATTTTGCATTTGTACAGGATCTGGTTCTGTGCATTCTCAGTTGTTCCAGAATAAATGGGAGAAGAGATGCCCCATAGGACAAGTGATGGCCGCAAACTTTGAAAGATATCTGACTTCAAAAAGAGTAACTACTAGGCACTGCTCCAGAGCACAGACCTAGTTAGTCCCCGATGGTCTCCTGGTGCCATAGCCAGGTGGAGTAACCTGTAAGTTCAGGATGCCTTGGGCCATCTGTGCAGCTGTGTGAACCACATCCAAGCATGGCTACTCTTAGAGTTAGGAATGGACTGCTGTCTTTTCAAAGAAGCAATCCCTAGCTGCTCAGGAGTGGCATTACTGCACTCAGCTTTTCAAGCACAGACTGTGGTGGCCTTTTGCCCGGTGTGCTTGACCACAGAGAAATGGGAGAGGATTCACCAGGAGGGATCTCTGACACAGGAAGAACTTCCTGATCACAGGAGTACAGCCACCAGAACACGTCTCCCCAGAAGGTGAAGGGAGACTGCCGGGGACAAGGAAGCAGACATGTGACTGGAGTGGCTTATGCCCTGTGGTGATCATTTATCTGTGTCCCCCAATAAAATTTATCTGAGGATCAGAGGATAAAGGTCAGCCACTATTAGTAAAAACCATAGAGACCTGGAGGTCTATATAGACAGGCAATGATAAGGAAGTGAGGTAGCTGGGCTAGATAGCCAATGAGAGGGCAGAATAGCAAGGCAATAAAGGTGGGGGTAAGACAGAGAGTAACACACATTTGGAAGGTAAAGAGTTGGTGAGGTAAGGTTGGCTGGTGGCTTCTGGTCTCTAAGGCTTTTACCCCTATATTTGGCTCCGTGTCTTTTATTTAATAAGACCACTTGGAAATCCGTCTACAGTGCCCACTGTGGAGTGAGATGCCACCACCTGCCCCGTGAGTACCAGTGGGGTGGAGAGGCGCCCCCTCTGTAGCGGCATGAGTCAGGACTGAGTTGCCCTCACTTGTTCACAGCTCCCTACTGCCCATTCCCAGAAGACACCCCTCTTCCCACATCTACAGCATGGGCCTAAAGCCACTGGGTACCTTCTTGGTTTGTAAAGAGAGGATTCACCTACCCTCCCTAAATAAGCCAAGGCCAGCAATGGATTTCCAAGTCACAGTTTTCTAAAGGGAACCTCGTTACTGAACGTGATTAGCATCCAAAGAGAAGCACCACACAGCGGAGGAGGTGTCCTTCTGGCCAGCAGCCATCTGGGGATCCCGTGTCCTTGCACATTATGATACCCCTCTGGCACATTGTGCATGTTAGCGAATTCTACTGGGCACTTACTCACCCTGATTGACAGCTGCTCAGAGCTCCACAAACACGGTCATACTGGAGTCCCCATCTGCCTTGGGATGGGGGTGTTGAGGCTCTGGCAGGTTCTAGAGCCTATGCAGACAGGAGCCGCCCCACCCCCACCACCATCTCCACAGTGCCCGCCCCCACCACCATCTCCACAGTGCCCGCCGGCGTTTCCTGGCAGAGCTACACCCCTGCCTACCTTTAGCCCGATGACGTTCTGCCCGTTCACCTCACACACGTAGTGGTTGGTGAGAAGTCCATTGCGGGCTGCGGAGCTTCCCTTTACCACGGATACAATCTTCCCCTTCTTGATGAAAAATCCAACCTGGCCTGAGCTGTCCTTGTGCATGGTGACGGTCCGCTGGAACGGCCTGGCAGAGAGTGACAGAGGTAAGCTGGGCTCGCGGGTGTGGCTGGGGCCGAGCAGGGAGGATGCTGGGACCTGGCTACTGACCTGTCCCGAACAATCATGACAATCTTCTCCGCGGACGCCTTCTTCAGTGCTTTGTGAGCTTTGGATGTGCTCCACCCAGCACAGTCACACCCGTCGATCTGCAGGATCTGGTCCCCAAAGCGCAGCCCCACGAGGGACGCAGGGGTGTTGGCCTGGACCAGCTGCACAAAGAGCCCCTGGGAAGCGAGACTCCAGAGTCAGCACCCCTGGCTGCCTGTCCCAGGCCCCTCCTTTCAGATGTTCATTTCCCCCTACCCTGTGAGCTTACAGTGTAGTGGGACCTAAGGTCTGCAGGGGGGGATACACATGTTACGCCTATTTTCCTGGAGGAGGAAACACACCAGACCACACAGAGTCCGCTGAATCAGGATTTCAGCATCACAATCAATTCTCCTGTATCACCCTTCTCAAGGGCATCATCTGGCTGGCTTTCGCTACAGTCATCAGGAAGCCAGACCCAAGGGCATTGGGGTACAGGAAACAGGGGCTCTGAGTAAAAGGAGCCTTGTATGGGACTTAAAGAGGATCCTGCTGCAACTAGGCACAGCCTTGAGGCCTCGGGTATTATGATGCCTGCTTGGAACCTTCCTTACTGTGGACAGAGACTCCCTGAGCCCTGGAAGGGGAGGCCCTTATACTCTACGCCATCTCAGACTGCCAGGCAACTGTATCCCTGGGGAGCTCATATCCCTGGGGCTGTGACAAGTGCTATTTAGCACCAGAGAGGCACACTGTCCTCCTGGGGGCCTCCACAGATCTTGCTTACCTTGTCAACAGCCTGCAGGCGCAGTCCAGTCTTGCCACGCTCGTCCTTGCACAGGTGGATCTCACGCATCCCCGGCTTGATCTCTGCACGCAGCACACCCAGGTTGTTCCCAGAGACTGGTGCTGTCACCTGGCCAGCCCCAGGGCTCGTGACCATCGTCTGCAAACACAAGCAGGGGCGGGTGGTCAGCCAGGCACCTGGGGCCCAAGCCTCCAGGGTCTCTGGGTTCTAGGAAGGGATGAGAATGAGGATGGAACAGTCCCTGGGTTCCACACACAAACACACTTGGCAGAGGCTGAGCGGGAATGGAGTTCGATGATGCCACTAGAGGGCGTCAAAATCCATACCCCAAAACACGAGAGGAAAGGGAAAGGAAGCCAGGCTCAGGAAGGGGTCCCTTTATTTTCCAAAGGAAATGAATGTCAAGAAAAGATCCACTTAAAACAAAGACATTTCACAGCAAGTAATGAGCCATGGGAAATGAAAGGCTAGTTTTGACTTTGTCTGGAACCAAGAATAAAAATTAACAAATGATTTCTCCTGGGAGACAGAAGAGAAGGACGTCCAGTCTCAGGCACAGAACAGTGAGGCAAGAAAATAGAAAAAGGCACACAGGACAGGAAGGAGATATAATTACTCCTGTTGATAAATGGCAGGATGGTCTACTAGAATATCCACAGAAACCTAAAAACAAATTGCTACCTATAAATAAACACATACAAACATTCAAAGACCTAGAATTCAATGCCAGCATATAGAAATCAACTGTGCTGGGCATGGTAGCAAGCATCTGTAGTCTTAGCTACCAAGAAGACTGAAGCAAGAGGATAACTTGAACCCAAGAGCTGGAAGTCAGTCTGAGCAAGACACAACTGTGTTTATCTACACTCTGACCAAAAAGGGGGGGGGGGCAGGAGAAATGAGATATGTATGAATCTAACAAGACATGTGCAGAAATTGATAAAAATCCTGATAAACATCAACAAAGACCTAAGCAAATAGCTTTCCAGTATGCACACCCTGGAAGAGCTAGCAAAGCTGTTGACTCCTCAGGCCGATGCACAGACACAGCACATTTCTATCAACATCGTCCAAGCCGTTTTGGTGATGCAGGTGGGATAATCTAGCTTAAAGTAGAAAGGCAATGGGATGTGAATAGTGAAACCGATTCCGACAAAAAGAACCAAATGTGAAGAACTGCACAGACACATCAAGGTTTCTCTTGCCACAGTACCCAAGGCAGCAGGTACTGGATGCCTCAGTCAACAGCCAACTAGGAACTCCAGAGATATCCTTACCATGGAGAGGACAATTGCTTTGTGGCAGAGGTCAAGATCAGTGATATGGGGCTATCTCAACAAGATTCACTGCAGCAATTGATGGCCAGGGGAAAATAGGAACTACGATGTAGGAACCTTCTCTGCTGGTGGCCGTGCCAGAGAAGCAGGTGGCAACTGAAGTTCAGGTGTCAGCCCACCAGGAGGAAACTCCCCGATGGGTGACTCTCAGATAGGCAAGGTCCCAAGACCACAGACTCCAGAGTGTCTTTTGCTCCTGCTGAGCCTTTACATGTTTGCCACTGCCATCTTTCTCTGGTATCTGGCATGGTGTGAATGGGGGTGGGGAGATCCCCACTGCCTGTAATGTAGTGTGCTTATCTCATGGAAACATCCCGTTCTAATGGGTATTTATTTATTTATTTTTTTGGGGGGGTGCTGTGGGATGGTCTGTATGTCAAATTGCTCTGATTGGTCAATAAATAAAATACTGATTGGCCAATGGCCAGGCAGGAAGTAGGTGGGACAAGGAGAGAGGAGAATTCTGGGAAGCAGAAGGCTGAGGAGAGAGACACTGCCAGCCGCTGCCATGACCAGCAGCATGTGAAGACGCCGGTAAGCCACCAGCCACGTGGCAAAGCATAGATTTATGGAAATGGATTAATTTAAGCTAAAAGAACAGTTAGCAAGAAGCCTGCCACAGCCATACAGTTTGTAAGCAATATAAGTCTCTGTGTTTACTTGGTTGGGTCTGAGCGGCTGTGGGACTGGCAGGTGACAAAGATTTGTCCTGACTGTGGGCAAGGCAGAAAAACTCAAGCTACAGGGGGGTTTTTCAAGACAGGGTTTCTCTGTGTAGCTTTGCGCCTTTCCTGGAACTCGCTTTGGAGACCAGGCTGGCCTCGAACTCACAGAGATCCGCCTGCCTCTGCCTCCCGAGTGCTGGGATTAAAGGCGTGCGCCACCACCGCCCGGCTTCTAATGGGTATTTTTACCTGTGGATTATTATGAAGATGATTTCTTCCTAAGCTGTACTGTCTAATTGATTATAATAATAATGTTAGTTTAAATAGAGTTTTGATGATAAAAAATAAAACAAGGAAGTGTCACACAGCTAGAACACATGAAGGAGCTGTATAGACTGTGGCTTAGGCTAATGATTAAGAAAAACAGTTGAGTCCTAGTAGGCCAGCTAGTTTAAATTCTTTTAATCTTAGTGTTGGGAGATGTGTTCACAGGTTTTGGAGTGCATCATGGCTGAAACAAAGCTTTGAAAATAACTCAAAGTTAGACTAAGATGTTTTGTCAAATAGCTTTGAGGTGAAAAAACATCAAGAATCAGAGAATTAGGAGGAGAACATCGAGAGAGTTAGAAGGAGAAGGAAAACGTCAAGAGAGACAGAAGGGGCATTTCTGGATAGAGATAAGAAAAGAGAATATAGAACACAGAATGAAGAACACAGAAGAATAAAGAAGGAAACCATCACGAGAGAGTGGGAGTGTCTTTCTCCCTAACCCCTCAGATAATGAAGTCTAGTACGTGCCGACTCTGTGGATTTCCCTTTGAACCCTGTGCTGCTGGAGGCCGGGTCCCCGGGCAGCAATATTTTTCCAAAAATCTACTCAGGTTTGATTATAAAGTTGTCTTAGTGAAGGTTTCTATTGCTGCGACAAAACACTATGACCAAAAAGCAAGTCGGGGAGGAAAGGGTTGATTCTGCTCACACTTCCATATAGTTGTTCATCACCCAGTATCAAAGGAAGTCAGGACAGGAACTCAAACAAGGCAGGATCCTGTGGGTAGAAGCTAATGGAGGGGAGCTGCTTACTGGCTTGTTTCCCCTGGCTCGCTCAGCCTGCTTTCTTATAGAACCCAGGACCACCTGCCCAGGGATGGCACCACCCACCATGGACTGGGCCCTTCCCCATTGATCACTAATTGAGAAAATGCCTTACAGCACGATCTCATGGAGGCATCTCCTCAACTGAGGCTCCTTCCTCTGATGACTCCAGCTTGTGTCAAGTTGACACACAAAACCAGTCAGTACAAAAGTCAAATGTAAAACAAAACTATAGCAATTTCAGAAGAATGTAAAAGAAAAAATCTTTAGGACCCAGGGCTTGAAGGAAAATTCTTTAGACAGGAAATCCAAGAAAAGAAAGGGGAAATATGAAAAAAATATATTTGACCTCATCAAAATTATCTGCTAACGACTCTGTCAAGGAGATAAAGAGCTAAGCCGAGGAAGACCGGGAGATGGTATTTACAACCCACGTTATCTGATGATGATCTCAGATTATAAAGTGTAGTCACTAAACTCGACCTTTAAAAGTCTAATTAATATGCATAAAATGAGCCCCGTGATGCGGCTCAGTCAGGACGGTGCTTGCCTAGCATGCTCAGGCCCTGGGTTTGATCCCTAACATCACACAAACCAGGTGCAGTGGCACACATCTGTAACCCCACCACTTGAGACATGGAAGCAGGGGTGGGGGGTGGGGGGGTGTCAGAAGTTCAAGGTCACCCTCAGCTATATTGAGTTTGAGGACAGACAGGGCCAGATCTTGTCTCAGGTGGTGGGGACATTATAAGATATACCACACCACTAGCCATTAGAAAAATGCAGATGAAGACTTGTCGTAAGTAGTGATGACACTGAGTGCTGGTGAGGATGTGAAGACACCAGGCATTTGGCACCATTGTCAGAGAAACTAGCCTGACAGCTGCCTACAAACGCAGATTTATCACATTGTGTAACAACTGCAAATTCCGGCCTGTTACACCGAACAGGAAATTTGTATCCATGTGAAAGCCTTTACACAACAGCTCTGCGTGTAATGGAAGAAACTAAAATCACCCTTGGCAGGTAAGAAGTGGCAGCTATGCACACATGAGATCCTGAATTCAGATTCTCAGAACCCACAGACAAAGCTGGGTATGTGACCACGCATCTGTCACCTGTGCTGGGGAGCTGGGGAGACAGAGACAGGAGGATCCCTGCCATTCATTACCCAGCCTAGCTCAACCAGGGAGCTTCAGGTTCAGTGAGAGACCCTGTCTCAAAAAATAAGGTGGAAAGGGATAGAGCAAGACATCAACCCTAGTCTACACACACCCACACACACACACATACACACACCCCAGACATACAACTAACACATGCATAGAACACCCTAAAAGAGTCATAGTTTCTGGTTTCCATTTATACAACATTCTGAAATAAAATTATACAGCCAGAAGCCAAGGCTGGGAGTGTGACACGGTGGTGGGACAAGCTACCACCCATGAGGTCCCCAGTGCTGCCAAAGAAATAAGAAGAAAGGGGGGAGGAAGGGCAAGCAATGGGGAAAGAGAAAGAGGAGAAGGTTACAGGGATTGGGGAGGGCTGGAGGAGGGAGCAGGTGTGACCACGAAGGGGTGGGAGAGCTTCCTGAGGAGGGATGGTCCTGCCCAGAGCTATGGACACTCCACTAGTGTAAATTATTCGTCCTGCTACTGTTCTGTGGTTTTGAAAGCAATACTGGTGAAACATACTTCCTATCTTTGCAAGTTACCCGGAGCCTACTATTTAAACACAAAAAAAGTTGACAACATTGAAAGTAATTACAATAATAAAAACTGTTGAGTATGGAGCTGGCTCAGTAGTTATGAGCACTTGTTGCTCTTGCAGAGGACCCAAGTTTGATTCCCAGTACCTACATAGTGGTTTACAACCTTCTATAACACCAGTTCTAGGGATCTGACACCCCCTTCTGGCTTCTTCAGGTACCAACCACACATGTAGTGCACACATACATACAGGCAAAACAATAATATACATAAAAATAAAATAAAACAAATCTTTTTCAAGAACATCCAGGAAGCTGGGTAGTGGTGGCTCATGCCTTTAATCACAGCACTCAAGAGGCAGGAGCAGCGTGTCTACACGGCGTGGTCTACAGAGCTAGTTCCAGGACAGCCAGAGCTACACAGAGAAACCATTATGAGAAAACCAACAGCAACAACAACAAAAAATCCAGGAGTGGTGGTGCATGTCTTTAGTTCCAGCACTTGGAAGGCAGAGGCAGGTATCTATCTCTATGAGTTTGAAGCCACCTGGTCTACGTAGCCAGTTCCAGGCCAGCCAAGGCTACAGGGTGAGACCCCATGTCAAAGAAAAAAAAAAAAAGAAACCCATCATAATTTAGGGTGAGTGCATTTGGGTCCCAACTGCTGTTATAAAGAATGACTGGGTTGACACATATATCCATACACACACACACACACACACACACACACACACACACACACCTTTTTAAATGGCAAGACCAAGAGGTAGGATGTTTAGTGGCCACCTGAGGCAGGGGACAAATACCTACATTGTCACCATCTGGAATCTGAGGCAGGCTCTTCTGGACTTCTTGGCTAGAGAGGGACAGTCCCATATAACTCTCCAGTTCCGCCAAGTTTGGGTACAACTCTGACAGCAAAGAAGAGACAGGGTCACTCAGGGGCTTGTGCAGAGCCACCTTGGCTGGCCCAGGGCCACTCCTTTTCAGTGAACCTGGGAAACTTCAAGAACACCCTGATCCCCTGACCATGCTGTGAGTCCCAGGGATGCTCGCCAGTGGCATGGGCCAGCTCTGACAAAGGTTCGAAGCACCTCTGTCTAGGAGTAGCCTCAGACACTGAGTCTCTCCTACACCCCAGAGGCCCTCAATTCAACCGCTTTGACAGCTGGCACAAAGCCAGAGCAGGTGCAGGACGACCAGAGGCCACAGGCCATGGTGGACGGCAACTCGGGGAGACAGCAGAGCACTGAAGGGGGAACCATGGGCCCTAGTTTAAGCTTCTCTCACAGGACTGGCTCAAGATTGCTATGGGCTTCTCTAAGGGCTACTTCAAAATCTGGTCTCCCCAGACGGTCTGCCTATGGCGGCTCCAAATCAGGCAATTTCTGCCTCACATGTCAGTTTCTCCAATGTTTCCTCAAAGGGGGAAGGTTAATTATACATGAGTCCCACAAGGTGGGAAACGGTGACAGGTGAGAAACGGGCATTGAGAAGTGGCCGGAATGCTGGGCCACGTTCTCAGAGTCCGTACATGGCACACCCAGGAGAGGCGGGCCTGCCCAGGGTCAGGGGGCCTCACATTGCCTTCCGTGCCTGGTGAGAGACCCAGCAATGCTGGGCTGTGTGACGAAGCTGGAGCTGTCATGACGCTGGGGTCAGGTTCACTCACCTGAAAGTGGGGGTGCAGAAGCCATCGGGGCTGACGGAGTGAGCATCCTGGGTGAGGCTCTGGCCTGGGCCTAAAAAGAATGTGAAATGTTGCTCAGCTGTAGCTGGGACTCTTGGATCGTTCAATCCCCAAAGGGGTCACCACCCACAAGTTGAGAGCCACTGCATCAGCCTCTGCACTGTGTCCCAGGGCTTCCAAGGAATCCCCAAGGGCTTCTAGTACCCAGCATCCCCCAAGACAAGCCTTAGTTACTAAGGTTAATTCCCAAGGTCACGATAAGGGACTCTAGGCAGATGGAGACTAGTTCCTTACCTGGATGACTTGGCTCACCTTCAGGTCCTCCAGAGATGGGTATAGGACAGACATAACTGCTCCTTGAAGCACCCTGCAGAGCAGAGAGGGTGAGGAAGGATGAGGATGCTGCTCCTATCTGCATCCAGAAAGGCTTCAAGGGTGCTGGCTAAGATGATCCAGCCTCACAGACTACTCCAGTCAGGACTTGACTATAATCCTAAATTTTCTTTGGGTCCCTATAAGATTACTAGTGCCCCCAATCAGCAGGAAGTAGCCTAAAAACTATGTTTGCATTCCCAAAAAAATGGGTTATGGATGTTTGTCTTTGTTTAGAATGTTGGTTGCAAATTGTTATGGATAATGGTCAGGAAAAGCTAAACAAAGGAAGATTAGATTTAGAGTTGTTTTGAAAGGAAAAAAGGGGAAATGCTGTGGGATAATGCTCATGTATACTGTAAAGATGTGTCATGCCTATTGGTTTAATAAAATGCCGATTGGCCAGTAGCTAGGCAGAAAGTATAGGTGGGGGGCCAGACTAGGAGAAGGCTGGGAAGAGGAAGAGAGAGGCAGAGTCGCCAGCCAGACACAGAGGAAGCAAGACGAGAATGCTGAACTAAGAAAAGGTACCAAGCCACATGGCTAAACACAGACAAGAATTATGGGTTAATTTAAGCATAAGAGCTAGTTAGTTATACACCTGGGCAACAGGTCAAACAGTTTATAATCAGTACAAGCCTCTGTGTGTTTGTTAGGGACTGAACGGCTGGGGGACCAAGCGGGACAGAAACTCCCTACACCCATCTTTCTGAAGAACGGTAGGACAGCCGCTCCTGCCACCTGGGCCCCACAGCACTCTACGACAGCACCGGGAGTTACCGTCCCATTTCAAAGATGAAGAGCCAGGATTTACACCAGTCTGTCTGCTTCTCGAGCTCAATCTCCACCCACAAAATTCCACATCTGACTGACCCTGGACCCTAGAAACCAAACCTAGTGGACCATCCAGGATGTACCCACTAGAACAGACAGGGTCAAGGGCCATGTGTCAAAGGTCAGATGAACTATGAGGTTTCCTCATCCGGTTCAGCAGGTGCACACGGAGCAGCTGCTGCATACCAGGTAAGGCTGGGAGCGGGCACAGCATCACTCACAACTACAAGCGGGTTGGGACTTAGCATTTAAACAGAAAGGCAGGAGACTCTAGAAACCCTCCCAATTCCTTTCATCCTGAGTATTTCAGCTCCGAGTGCACCAGCTGTCTTAGGGTTATTGTTGCTGTGATGACACACCATGACCAAAGCAACCTGGGAGGAAAAGGGTGTACTTTGCTCATACTTCCATATAACTGTTCATCACCAAAAGGAACTCAAACAGGACAGGAGGCAGGAGCTGAGGCGGAAGCTATGGAGGAGTGCTGCTTATTGGCTTGCCCCCCATGGCATGCTCAGCCTGCTTTCTTGCAGAATCCAGAACTGCCAACTGAGGGGTGGCAGAACCTACATCGATTAAGAATACGCCCCACGGGCCTGCCTATGACTGGAGGCATTTTCTCAACTGAGGTCCCTTCTACTCTGCCTTGTGTCAAGTTGACATAAAAACTAGGTAGTACAATTGACCCCTTGACAACTTGACACACACACACACTCATCACTTATTAAGCAACACTCTGTGTTCTTTCTCAGGCCCAGGCCAGAACCTCACCTGGGATGCCCACTCTGTTGACCCCGATGGCTTCTGCACCCCCACCTTCAGGAGAGTGAGCCTGACCCCAGTGTCCACACCATGACAGCCCCAACTCCTTTCTTGTCCTCATTAATTAACATTAATACTACAATCAGTCTTTACAAATCCAAACACTTTAGAAGTTCAGTCTCTTTAAAAATCCAAGGGCTCCTAAAAATCCAAAGTCTCTTTAGAAATTCGAAGTCTCTCAACTGTGGGCTCTTGTAGCATCAAAAACAAGTTAGATCCTTCGTTACTCCATAGGGAAGAGCGAGTGGTGGCACTATTCATGGCACACTGGAGGCCCTGGGTTCCACTCTGGCACCACAGTCCTCTCTCCTACCAAGCACACAAACTTGGGGCACTTAGTATAATCCTGCTCCACGGGGAGGAGGAACCAAAGGTGCAGGGGTACTGCACACCCACACCCACACTTCATCATCCCGCCTGACAATCTGCAGCACCTCCAAGGGAGGTGTTCAAAGCAGCTCAGACTATCAACCTCTTAAAAACACGCCAGTCCCTCCCCAGGTGAACTGTCCAGGGGGAATTTGCCCTTCTGGGTTCTTCCCTTCACAGTAACTCCTGGCTCTGTCATACTTCCTGCCCTCTGTGAGGCCGGCCACTCCAGCTAGATACCCCACCCTACCTCCCTGTCACCTCCCCCTTGCTGGACCCGCCTCCCAGGGTAAAGGTCACTGCCCTGTCACACTGGGCCCTGTCACCAGGACAGGCTCTGAGCTACACACCCACCTTGAACTCTTCCGTTACCCCGTGCCTTTCCAGCTCACTGCCACTATTCATGGTCAAGGTATGTCCTTCTTGCCCACATGTAACAGGAATGTCAGAGGTGACGTAGAGAACTGATTAGGCTGTACCATGATGTGGGAACCAGCCCCGTGACCCTGTATGACCCACAGGCACTGAGGGCATTCCCATGATTCACTTCTCCCTCTATACTTGCTGCCCCCACCCATGTCCTTAACTACCGCCCCCACCATCCTTCTCCTGTGTTATCAAGTCACCTCTCACCCGTATCCCTGCCATACAGACCTCTTTCACTGTTCTGTCCCTCATTAGTGCCACAGCACCCCCTAAATAGGCCATGGACTCCTCTTTTCTCTGCTCCCCGGACGGTAGCCACCAGGCCTTTTACACATGAGGCCAGGATGTTGTGGTTTTGCTTAAAGCCCCCTGCCTCTTGGAGGCAGGAGTTGGTGCAGAGGCTTTGGAGGGCTGCTGCTCTCCATGACCCCCTCCTACCTTCAAAACCAGTACCACCTGGGTGACTCTTACACTGCCGTCCAGCTGCCAACACATGGCACCACGCTGGCTGAGTCGAGAACACAGCGCTGTGTGCCGACTCTCAGGAAACACTTCCCAGACGTCACCTGACGAGTCTGGTCTTTTTTAATCACCATTAGTTTCGCAGCCCCAGCTGCCCAGCATCTATTGTCCCCAGAAAGGATGGTTTTACTTCAGTGGTGCTGCTCTCTTACTGATCACAGCTGAGTCCTCAGCCCCAGCTGACCAGAACCACAGATGCTTAATTCACAATATCAAACGGGCCTTTGCTTCTCTCTGAAACTTTCCAAGCCGGGCCTCCGTCATCTACACTACTTGGGCACTATCCTCTAACCTTCCAAGTTCTCACAACAGCTCACCAAGCTTTGAACACTCAATGGCTTCTCCAACCCAAAGTGCCAAAGCCCTTCCACACTCCTCCCGCAAACAGCATGGTGAGGTAGATCACAGCAATGTCCTAAGGGACCAACTTCTGCCTTAGTTAGGTTTATTATGGCTGTCATGAAAAACCGTGACCAAAAGCCACCTGGGGAGGAGAGGGTTTCTCTGACTTACATATTCTGAATCACAGTCCATTGAGGGAGGCCAAGGCAGGAACTCAAACTGAATGGGAACCTGGAGGCAGGAGCTGATGCAGAGGCCATGGAGGAGTGCTGCTCACTGGCTTGCTCCTCATGACTTGCTCAGCCTGGTTTCTTATAGCACCCCGGACCACCAACCTGGGAGTGGCCCTACCCACAATGGGCTGAGCCCTCCGAAACCAACCACTAATTAAGAAAGAAAATACCCCACAGGCTTGCCTTCAGTCAGATCTTACGGAGGCATTTTCTCAACAGAAGTTCCCCCCTCTCAGATGACCCTAGCTTGTGTCAAGTTGACATGAACTAGCCAGCACACACACCAGTAGCTCCCCTGGAACCTAGCCTGTATTTCCTAAAATGGCCCACAAGGGCTTCTTGAATCTTCCCTGGAATGGAACTGGTGGCCCAAGGGCCAGATGTAAAGAAACTGTATTTGACCTTGCAGAATACTTAACAATTTGTTTGCAGATGCTACACTAAACAGATTCTGACTGATGGGGGGGGAGCTTTGGCACCCAAAGTGTCAACTGAACACCCACAGGCTCCAGTGTGCATGGCCCTACCACTCTCCACCGTCTCTTACACCCAGGCCACTTGAGTCACTGGCATTGAGTCCCAGCAGATTGTTTACCGTTTTGACCTAACTCCCCAGTCCACATCTTTCCATGTGCCTTTCTCCAACCCTTACTTTCAACCGCTGCAACAAGGAAATACACTCGGATACTGGGATGGACGTCTCTCTCTGGTCTCTCAGCCTTAGAGTGGTAGTCCCCCTGTCTGGCATACTGTCTGGATCACAAGCCCTGGTCCTTGCCCAGCTCATTCCTAATAATCCTGACCTAAAACCGTAAGATCTTTCTCATAGGAAGCCTGTTTTGGATGGGTGCACATATAGTGCTCCCCCGTGTCCTTACTCCTGTTCATTAACTAGTCTTGTAGTTGACGCTCCTTGTCCTGCTGTCTTATTAGACTGGGAGTCCCAGGAGGGCCTTCCCATTGGCTGCAGAACCTCTCAAACCCTGTGCAGAGGATAATGCAATAATATGCCAGAGGCAATATATTTGGTCCTTCCATCCTTCCCCTTGTAAAGCAGAGTTCTGGTATTTCAATATTATGCCCTTCATAGAAATGGAACCAAGAACCAGAGGTCTAAATGCACCTTGTGAGCCGATTTGGTTTTTGTTTTTAATGTGCATTGGTGTTTTGCCAGCATATATGTCTGTATGAGGGTGTCAGGTACCCTGGAACTGGAGTTACAGACAGTTGTGAGTCGCCATGTGAGTGCTGGGAATTGAACACGGGTCCTCTGGAAGAAACAGCCAGTGCTCTTGACTACTGAGCCATCTCCCCAGTCCCCACCTTATGTATCTAATCTCTCTCTCTCTCTCTCTCTCTCCCTCTCTCTCTCTCTCTCTCTCTC